GTAAGTCTTGGCAGACCATTGTTTATCTATTTGCTTATACAATGCAGTAAAAGATCTTTCAAGTAACTTGACACATTTGTAGGCTACCAACAAGGCTCTGGGTCGAGCAAATTGTATAAGTGGAAGTATATCGGGTTTAAGTCCACCAATGAAACACAATACAAAATGAGGTTCTTTCAATGTAGGATTAATTATCACCATTAAACACTTTAATTTAACAAACCTCCTTTGGTATGTTTCCACGTCAGTAATTTGCTCAAGGCGATTAAATTTCTTAACAATATCCACAAGATCATTGTCTCCAAATCTTTCACATATGTCATAGCAAGATTGAGCCCAAGTAAAAATACCCCCATGGCCAGCAAGATAACCATCAAACCAATGATCAATATATTCTTTCAAATTAATGGCCACGTAATTAAGTTTTTCATCATCCATCACTTGATATAAGTCAAAAAATATTTCACACCGCCTCAACCAGCTTCAGGGATTTACCTCGTCGAACTTAGGGAATAATAGCTTGGCCTTTGGTAGCTTGGACATAGATCCAAGGGAGTCAGGCCTATTATGGTTGGGTGAAGCCCAGCCCACTGAAGCTGGTTGAAGGGTTCCAAATGGGAGAGAGAAAGGTTGTGATGTTAGGTTCATAGTCAGTGGGTATGAAATGGGTTGGGTTACAGGACTAGTAGAAAATTACCCCGAGGGATTTGTTATACTGTAATTAACTGGAGGAGGCTACGATTGGGGTAAGTATGGCTGAGTAGACATTGGATAAGGGTTTGCTTGTGGAAATAATGGTTGGATGGTCATTTGGTATGTGTAAATTGGAGGGTTTACAACTTGGGTATTCATCTGGTTCGAGCTTATATGATTGTTATAAGGTTGACTGGTCAGAGAGTATGAAAGAATTGGGGGTCTAAAAGCTAGCGCTGAAGGATTTAGGAGAGCGCTAGTGATGGTCTCAGCTTGGTTTCGTAAATGAGCCGGATGTACTACCCAACCGAGGTGGTGAAGATAAATGCACGGCTCGAAGTCCAGTGGTATTGTGAGGTGAAAATGGAGGGGTATAGTTTTGTATGTTACTCCTGACGGAACATAAATCAGCTTTTTCAGTGGATCCACCATGAACATCGGTGACTGAGGCTCTTACAGAAGATGAGGGTTCTGCCCTGTTTTGGCTGCTCATTTGTAGCAACATCTCATCAATTCTCTTAGAAAAATCTGAAAACTCCACCATTTTTGCTTCAAAACTCCCTTGCTTCCCCTCAAATCTATCCATGATTTTCTCTGATTTTTTTAAATGAATTTTTACAGCTAAACTTCAACCCTTCTCAGTCCATTTTCTTCATCAGACTGATTTTTCTGCTTGTCAACCATCCTTGATTGCCAGAACTAAGGCTCCGATACCAAGTTTGTAGCAATCGGCTACTATGTAAACTTAAGTAAGAAAGCAATAAGACATAGAATGAAGAAATTAATTAAAAATAGCAATTGTCATATTTTCTGAATATTCTTGGATGATTACAATGATTGGCATTATATGCTACTGGATAGTGACATCAAGGTTTGTGCTAAAAAAAAAAGACACATGTCCTACTTCTAGAATCCACTAAGGGCAAGAGGACTTAATTGAAATACTTAATACTATGGGACTAAAGTAGAAATAATGAAACTATAAGACTACTCAATAATAAATAAAAGCCTCTTCAGTCTCCTTTCCAAACTATCCTTGACCACCGTCCCTACAGGGTTTTAACAGCCACTTAAAGATTATTAAATAAGGGTGGCAAAATAGCTTCACTGCAAGTTATTCTCAAAACTTGAAGCATAGGGGAAGACATATACATCATGCCTGTAACTTTTGGTCTACAGAAGCAATCAAATGGAGAATTATTGGGATTTCAAGAATAGCTAATGCTTGTCATTTAAATGCCACCACGACAACTTTTCAAAGGGAACGAAGTGATTGGATACTTACGTGTTCAATAACAAAAATCCCAGCAATGCTTGAAGGATTCAGTAGAAACATTGTGAGGTCGAGGCATATTAACAATCAAACGTCGGCAGTGGACTAAGATGATTTAATATTAAGATACTTGCATCAAATCTGTAAGTTTGGATTCAAGGTAAGTTTTAAGGCTTTCTCTCTTAATAGGAAATTCTATTAGAACCCACGTGGTATATGCATTCGATGAAATTCTAAGATATGTCTTATTGTGCTCCAGTACTTAGTTTACTTTATTCTTATTCGGTACGACTCTATGAGAATGTGATAGTCTTATATGCTTACGTATATTACCAATTGTTATGTGACTTTTCTTATGATATTTCCATTCAGTTCAGCATTCGTTCATGCATTAATGTGATCACATTCAGAAAGGGAGAGCTAGCCGACCTCCCCTTCCGTGAGTGCCACGAGGCCAGGGTTAGCTACTCCACGTTCGTAGGGGCTATTGTTTGCTGGGGAGATCGACCGACGCTCCCTCGTGCGTATTGCTAGATCTCACGTACATAGGGCCACTATGTGTAACTATTTTCAGAAAAGTTATTTATTTTTTAAATACTTAGTTTTCACCTTAAATTTCAGTTATCAGTTATAGACTCAGTTTTCATGCTTTCAGTTATCGGCTTATAGTTCAGCTCATAGTTTCAGGTTTTAGCTCATTTCCTGTTTATAAATTTTGTTGATATGATATTATGTGTAACCACTTCCTTTCATATTATGATTTTTCCCAGAAGGTTTGGCTCTGCCTTTTTAGGAGGTAGCCTATGAGATTTACTGGGTATCCTTTGGTGGTACTTAGCCTGTTTGAGTCTGCCACGTCATGTAGCAGGTGTTAAGATTGTAGGTGACGAGATACGTGGCTAGAGATACATTTTGCAGACTCAGTTGGCGGGCTCGTTGGTTCTTTACAGTGGTGTTAATGTACTTTCATATCATTCTAGGGGAATGCCTCATAGACTTATGTATTCAGACTTATAGTTAGATGCTCATGACTTTACTAGTGGGTTCAGTTGTCAAGCATATTAACATTAATATTAGAATTTAGTTTTCAGATGATTATTATCTTAAGACTTATGTATGAATTTCTTAGATATTATGTACAACTTACACTTTAATTAGAATAAGGCTTGCTCGATAAGGTAAGGTAGATCGAGTGTCATCACGTCCCACCCTAGTTTGGGAGCGCGACAAGTTGGTATCAGAGCCACTCCGCGTGCAACCTTGAAGGGTGGTGGAGCAAACCTCAGCGAGGACGTTGAGTCCCTAAGGGGGGGTGTATGTGAAACCCTAGGCGAATCCCACATCGACAAAACACATGAGAGATGCTGGGTATATAAGTAGACAAGTCTTAGACTCTAGTGACGCGTTTTAAACCCGTGAGGGCCTAGGCTCAAAACGGACAATATCACTAGCGGGATGGGCTGTTACAATTATATTTTGGAAACCTATTTTTTAGGGATCGCTATTTGTCCTCCTTTTTTTTATTTCTGAATGGTGGAACTTCATCCCAACGGTTTTGTTTTTTGGATTGGAAAAAAAAAAAGGAATCTTCTTGTACATCAGTGGTGTGGGTAGCATGGCACGAAGGTGAAAATGACCCAGACAAGGGACAAATTAATCAGAGGAAAAAAATTATTTGTTATCTCTTTAAGTATTGGAGAACAAAATTACTTGATACATATGCCGCTAGAACATAACATGAATTCAAAGTAGTCGAGATGTGTGTTAACTAGCCTAGGCACCACCATTATAAAAGAGAAGACATATGTCTTGTGTATGTCCCATTTATTAGTAATTTTAAAGTCTATTTATACTTTTTTATCATTTAATTTTTGTATAGAACCCAAGAATTTCAACCTTTTGTATCCACAAAGTTAAATATTAAGTGGCTTTCTAATACTTGCAATTCTTAAATTGCAGGTTGTTGGGGACGTTGCAATTTGTTAATGAAGGCCTTTTATGGCTAGGGTTTTATGAAGATAGAAAATTTTTCGCACCTTCTAAAGAATATTTAGGCTGTGAAAACTAAGGGATTAATTAATTATCGATTAATACGTTTTGTGATAATTCCTATTATCGTTAGTCCAAGTTGTATTTGCAAAGGATCCATCACCGCACAGAGAAATCTCTCTCTATATATATTTATATATAAAGTGGGATAATAAGAGATGAGTTATCACTTCTCTTTGCCAAGCATTGGTATTTATCTTTTTATCTCCTTTTTTGGATTTCTTTTGGGCAACTTCCTTCTTTTCGTTTTTTTTTCTCCCCTTAAATGTTTTGTTCTTCCCATTATTCACAAACACTTAATATGTCATAATGAATCAATTAATGAAGCTCTCTGTTACTAATCTATAATCTATTCCCTTAAATTGAATCCATTAATTCTTCTCATATTTTTCCAAGCACTTAGAAGTTAAAACCTAGAACGTAATATTCTGTTCATAGAAGAAATTGCCCTTTTGAAAGATCCTGGGATACGGCAGTGACCTCCTTGCATCCCTTGAATTATTGTTAAGAACGAATTCTGAGTCAGTGTAAAGGATTTCTTAGATTAAGAATTCTAGCATCATAATGAGATAATGAAAATGATGCACTCCTGAAATATTGTACTGTTGCATCGGAATAAGAAAAAGGAAAAACTAAAAGAAAGACTTTAAAAAAAATGCATGTTTTATGTTTTTTAAGAAATCACTACCACGAAATTACTGTAAGAGATATATATTATATATATGGACGAAAGATTATCTCTATTTTTCAAGTTATACTTTTCAAATGATGTACTAGTAGTTTTCTTCTAGAGAACTGATTGGTCACTTTTTTAGCCTTTTATTATACAAAGTTGAAAAACAAGTGGTAGTAGAAACAAAAACCACAATATATATTGACAGTTTAAATTGAATCTGGGAACTGAGTCTCACCTTCAGGGTTTAGTTAGGCATAACCCCCAAATCAGTATATTGGCGGCCAAAAGAACACATGAAGAAGGGGGGGATAAAAATTAGATCAAGCTAATTAATGCATTTCATAGTAGATACAGTCACAAGCCAAACTCACAAATGTGACCAATCATAGTAGCTTTCTTCTAGAAAACTGATTGGTCACTTTTATTATACAAAGTTGAAAAACAAGTAGTAGAAACAACTAACATAAGGAATGCTTAAAGGACACACAAACATGCGTTTTAACAGCTATTTTCAGCAAACCATATATATATGGTTGGGTAATTTCAAGTTCCAAGGATAGTCCAATAATAACCTTAATTGACCAGAAGTAGTAAGATGGTCAGAGGCATACGCCATATGCAAAGACTACTCCATATACACATTGGCGACAGTAATAACTTTCACTGCAATCACTATCTTTATTGCAATGATCTGTACATGCACCTGTTAGTGAAAACATATTTCTCTTTATCACTGCAATCTGCTGCGGTATTTCTCGTAATGCCATCACTTCCATCTTCGTCAGATTAACTGCAAAATCACATAAACATACTAATAAATATTTGTACTAGCTAGAATAATACGTAAGTATATATATACTAGCATAAAATGATAGTAATATATATGTATGTATTTAAGAATATAAAGATATCAACCAGTAGTGATAACAAAGAGAGCAATCAAGAAAAAAGTGAGCATGAGTGTTGGACGTCCTCCTCCTGCCATTGTAATTCACTTCACACAAATTAAGTAGAAGAGAGTGTTTAATGGTGTTATTACCGCTCTTGATGAAAAGCTGATCAATTTATAGACTAAGATACTTATCCGTAATTTGTTTAAATTAATCACTAGTAGTAGTAACTAATTATAAAACAACAACAACAACAACCCAGTATAATCTCATTAGTGGAGTATGGGGAGGGTAGTTTGTACGCATACCTTACCCCTATCCTAGGACAGAGAACCTGTTTCCGATAGACCCTCGGCTCTCTCCCTCCGAGAACTCCCCACCTCGAAAGGAGGCGAGAACTCCTGCACTTGCGTAGCATTTGCCACATTCACACGTCACGCGTACCTGAAATACTATAATCCAATTGCGAAGACCAAAACTTTCCCCAATTAACAAAAGCAAGTGACCTTGTTGTCAACGTACTGTACATATGCAAATCTCTCTCTCCTTCTCATATTTATTGGCCATGCGAAAGTTACATAATCAATACTTAAACTTGGCCATTAATTGCAACAATAAGTTAAAAGAATAGAGTATATTCCAATTGCAGACTTTCCCCAATTAACAAAAGCAAGTGACCTTACTGTCAACGTAATGTACATATGCAAATCTCTCTCCTTCTCAGATTTATTGGCCGTGCGAAAGTTCCATAATCAATACATTGAACTTAGCCATTAATTGCAACAATAAGTTAAAGAATAGAGTATAATAGATGTCGATGTTTTCTAGAAAGATCAACTTCAGCTATTTTCTCCACTGCTCTTGGTGCTTTCTAAATTTGAAATGATTTATGCTGAGAAAAGGCTCAAAATAATAATATCTCAAGTTCACTTTAAGTGATTTTTTTTGGTTGTTTTCACACATTAAGAAATTCACTTTTTAGCATTAAATTAACAATGTAATTGACCATATTAATTTTAATTTGTTAATTGAAAATACAACATGCTCTTTACTCCAAAAGCAACTTTGGAAAAAAAAAGTTAATTTTTTCTTGATATTTGAAAAATCAAATTTTATGAACCACAAAAAAAAAAAAAATCAAAAAATTACTTAAAGTGGACCGGGGAGAGTAATGATTAAATCTTGCTGAGGAAAGGCTCAAACAAATGATTAATTATGCTGAGGAAAAGCTCAAAAATGTAAGGATCGGCAACAGGAAGCTAAGTTGCATTAATCTCAACTCAATCTCTAAGACGAAAGAGTAACTTAATTTGTATTCCACATCTATTTTCTGTGCAAGTAATTGTATCTATAGCAAAATTACATAATATATTTTTGGAGAGTTGCCACCTGAACTATGGCCCAAATCCCCCTAACACACTTTCTGTGGGCGATAATAATATTACACACACAGCTTTTCTAAAGTGTATTTAGTACATACCTCTTTTGATCAGGTCCGCAAAAAATTCATCCGTGTATTTCACGCGTTTTACTTTAGTTTATAAACTTAAAAATAAAAATATAAAATAAAAAATTACAAATATGCCCTCATCTTCTTCAACTCATACTTGCAACACCATTATAGAGCATGTTTTAAAAATGGAGACAACCAAGAACATTCTACCAAAATTTCCAAAATATTCTTTACCATCAAATATGGTCATTAAGCTATAAGACAACTTTTGAAATCTTTGCTTCCATTCGAGTTAAAATTACAGATGCAAAACCAAATGGAGGAGGAAATTCAATCAAAAGTTGACGGAATTGCGTGACTAGTTAGGTTTCTCCAATGAAGTCAACACGATCGGCTCAACCTGACCCACCCACTCTTTAGGCTCGCTTTCTTCAAAGAACACCACCGGTTTAACTCGTCGGTCACTCGCAACGCCGATACCGGCGTATTTTCCCCGCTCGATATCCCTTTCCCTCGCATCCAGTTCCTTCCTCCCTACTGTCGAGCTGGAACTCGAACTACTTGTTCTCTTGTGCGACTATGCACCAGAATTTATCTAACGGCGTCGAGTCCAACATGTCGTTTTGGCTTTCGTTCTTCCATAGAGTCGTCGGCGGCAGAGTTGAACATGGAGTACCTTGCTTATATGCTCCTGATGCTTTCAATGCCACGTCCTTTATCTACACCACAAATTGGGGGAGTGAGTTCAGAGGATGAAGATGGAGAAAAAGGGGTTGTGACCCAATTAAATAAAATTTGAACACGTGGCATTTTAATAAATAATCTGATAGCAAAAAATCAAATTTAACGCGCTTCTTTTGTGCGTAAAAATGATATTCGTCGTCAAAAAATATGTAACGGGAATTTGGTATATTGTTCATGTAGGTACTTATGTATTTTGTCTATATTTTTAATACCTAGTTTCCAGGAATCATGTCTTGGTTTTTAAGTTTTGAACAATATTTTAAAAGATATTTTCTGGGCGAGCCCTTGAGCGAGGTTGTCATTCAATTCTTACGCTTTAGACCTTTGTTTGCAAAGTACAAACTATAAAGTAAAGAGTTTTGTCATTCGATTCTTACTCTGATTTAACACTTGCATTTTCCTTCTTATGCGTCATTTTTTTCAAGTTTTTTTGTTTGTTCTTTATTTATTCTTCTCAAGTTAGTTTTTTATTTCAAAATATCTTTTGGTATTGCTCTTGTATACGGTCGAAATAAATTTCGGCCTTCGTACGATTGATCGATGTCGAAACATAATGGATTGAAGAAAGACTTCGTAATATCGAGATGGGTTCCGAAAATAGTACAAACAAGCTTCAGATTTCAGGTATAGGTCAAACACCGAGTTCGAAGTCATTATCGAGCTCGGGTCCGAATCGAGCTCTAGAAGCAATACCGACTAACACCGAGTCCGATCGAGCTCGAGCTCACAGATATGAGTCATTGCAAACACACTAAAGGAGAGAATCTCAGCAGAAATTAGGAAAAAGTTGATTTATCATGGGTTCTCCACTATGTATTTTTAATTATATCTAAATTAGGTTCCTCCACTATAAAGAGGATGGCTACCTTTTTGTAAAGGGAAGTTTTTTACTTACATTGTAATTCAAGCACCATATTCTCCTATATTTAAGGATTATTCTTTTAAGCTTCATTAATTGATTCACTGTGCTTAGTCCTAAAAATCATCTTCTTTCCAACCTTGTTTATTTTGCATTCTTTGCAATCCATATTTGATATTTCTATTTATCCCTATGATTTGTATCAAGCAATATCACATATCATTAGAACTACGTACAAATTTAACTCTATCCATTTTTCGGGTAAACAGTTTGGCGCTCACCGTGGGGCTAAGGATAACAGTAGTTATTTGATACGAATCTGCAAAAATACACCGTTTTGTGCTTGTTTTCGAAAGTATCTTGAATTTCAGATTAGCAACGACTAACTACCAATAAAATGGCCTCACCTATTGACAACGAAGTTGGTTTTCAAGATGAGAACAACAACTTGACACCTAGTACCGAAAGACCACTTGTCAACACCATTGGAGCTCGAATCGAAGTACCAATGGACATCAATTTGCATGTGGCCATTGAGGCAAACCTACATTCTGAACCTGAAAATAGCATTCATAGAGGCACTCGATCTGCACCTCGAGACACCCATAACATTGAGGAAAACGGAATCAGTTTGCGTATGATTTTCGAAATGTTGCAAGCTCAACAGGTAGCGATAGCTCAGTTGCAGAGTCAAATACAGGTACCGAGCAGACCGGATCCCACTCCACCCCGAGAGATCACCCGTAGAACAGAGCCAGTTGTAGCAAGATCAAACGAGCAAGAATCAGGGACTAATCTTGGAGTTGTTAAGATGTTCAAAGAACTGACAAAATAGATCAAAGAAAACAACAAAAAAGTGGAAGCATACAACTCCAGGGTTGATCAAATCCCGGGGGCACCCCCGATATTGAAAGGCTTAGATTCCAAAAAATTCGTACAAAAGCCTTTCCCCCCGAGCGCAGCTCCTAAACCAATCCCAAAGAAGTTTCGCATGCTCGAAATTCCTAAGTATAATGGGACGACCGACACCAACGAATATGTCACCTCTTATACATGTGCCATTAAAGAAAACGATCTAGAAGATGATGAGATCGAATCTGTATTATTGAAAAAATTCGGTGAAACCCTGTCAAAGGGGGCAATGATATGGTATCATAATTTACCATCTAACTCTATTGATTCTTTTGCTATGCTTGCAGATTGCTTCATAAAAGCACATGTCGGGGCCATAAACGTCGAGACCAGAAAGTCGGACCTGTTCAAAGTATTACAAAAGGATAATGAGATGCTAGGGGAGTTCGTATCTCGTTTTCAAATGGAACGAATGGATATGCCACCAGTCATAGACGATTGGGCTATTCAAGCTTTCACTCAAGGTCTAAACGAACGAAGCTCAGTGGCTTTACGGCGGTTGAAGCATAATCTGATCGAGTACCCAGCTATTACTTGGGCCGATGTGCACAATCGATATCAATCCAAAATAAGAGTCGAAGACGACCAGTTGGTTTCTAGGTCCGTTACTAAAAGAACTACCAACCAAAGGTCGACCAGAGATCGATACCGGCCATATAGCGGAAATCCTACAAGCTAGGTCTGATAAAATGGCAATCAACTACCAAGCAATTGGAACGCGTAACGCCTAAAACGATACTACTGCT